GTGTAAAATGTGTATGAGCTTTAGGTTTGTACAGCTTTGTTTGGGCACAAAACGACGGGAGCGCGTATATTCAATATATTTAGACCACCTGGAAGAGATCTTCATCTAGTCAGCATAAATCACTGATCATATATTCCAGTGAGGAAGATACGTAGAGGCTTGCTTATTGCCTGGATGGGTGCATTTTAGCTACCATTTAGAGGTGTCTTTTCAAAACAGGGACAAACAAAAGAAGGCGTTTTAACCTTTAACATAACTGAATGCAAAGAGGGGGATTCCTCTTGTGCAGTATATGTGCATGATGAGTCATATAAAAAAGAAAGAAAAAGAAGAGTAATAACATGCAAAGTGTTTTAAAGCTCTACTCGGCAAATAATGCTATAGTGTAGCAATTACAAGACAATACATGTGTTAAATTGAAGCTTTTATTCACAGACTTCTTAGATTGTAAGAACCTGTTGCACCATATGTTTTGTTTTGCTTACACTTTTAATGTAGAATTAATAAGTGGGACATTTGGAGCATGTGTTTCTTTAGATTTCATACCTCTCAGTTATTGGGAAAAACAAAAAGGCTGTGTGAGAATCATTTTCTCAACTCCTCGGAGGCATTACACCCTAATTATCTTGTCCTAGCTTGCCTCACACACGCACACACACACACACACACACACACACACACACACACACACACACACACACACACACACACACACACACACACGCACACACACACGCACACGCACGCACGCACGTACGCACACGCACGCACACACACACACACACTGTATGCATCTGAAGCTGATTAGTCTGCAGGAAAAAGGGAGAAGAGATGTCATCTGATTTTCTTGAACTCTTCTTGAATGCACAGTATGTACATGATAATGACAGGGACGCGTGTTTGCTGCAGCTGGAGGTAGATAACATGAAAAAGGAGATCATAAAAAGCTATCACTAAAGACTGGAGGCCTCCAATGGAAAGTCTGACTAAGCAGCTGAGGCTCCTTCCTGCCTGCAGAGAGCCTCATAAACAGCCTCTGTGGTTCAATTTGGGTGGAAAAAATGTGTGAAATGTTGCAGCCCTGCCCACCATCCTGACACCAGCTGAGTTATAGCGTGTGTCCTCAAATGCCCTGCTTACATTTTTGTATACAACCCCTCCTGATTATATGTAACGTCCATTTTAAGCTGGTGTGATGCATGACACCATGTGCAAAGTCCAGTCCCACCCACAGGCACTGACTAACGCCATTACCTCTCATCTGCACTGATGGAAAACAAACATTGTCCTGTGAGGTTATTGTGGATTCTTACAAATGTTACACTCCCTTCCAGGAAAGCCACACTCAGCATATTACTTCACCAGATTGATAAAACACTGGCAATCTGTTGTGAAATGCTATGAGACACTACAGCTAAAAAAAAGAAGTACACTCAGGGAATGTTGGAAACACAATCACTGAGAAATTCTTGATCAGCTGACTGCGCTCAGATTTCCATTATTAAACTACACAGGCTTTTTCAGACATACGTTAATCTGCTGTGATCACGTACAATGTGTTGAAGCACTACTAGGAGCAAAAATGTTACAAAGTGATGTCACTAGGTTCCTGAAGTAAACAAAGGACTCTAATGGAGGCGTTTCAGGGTGGGGGGAGTGTGTTGGAGAGAAACTCCCTCTGGAGGGAAAACAGGAATTTTAGCATTTGCAGACCATTTACATGCACACAAACCTACACTACAGGAAGTATACTAAGGCCTCTTTAAAGGGCCCCACCATTGATTTTACACATAACAGTAAATGTACTCTGGCTTGTCAAGATAGCATGAGTATAAGTATATAACTATAGATGTCATAATGATGGAGACTTGGAGAATTATAAGAGGAAGTCTTCAAATAAACCCTCTTCCTGTGAGCTAAGTTTTGTTTGATTAAATGGGACGCAAGTTAAAACCAAGACAATCTAAGCATTTTCTTGGCCTTGGAACTTTGATAAGACTGCCATCTTTGTTTTGCAAATTGGGGCAGTGAGGGTAAAACTATTTTTTTTTAAATGAACGGTTGAAGGATAAATGTAGATCCACGTTTTTGTAGCTCGACCGATAACGGTAAGGCTATGTTGACATTAACTGGAACTTACAATTTCCCCTTAACAATGTCATAATCCATAAATAACGTACAGTCATAATATATTTGATTCTCTCCTGCAGGATTGGAGGGAGATGCAGATCTAAATTTCCTGCTGGTCGGCGGGGAACTGATCAAGATCCGCTCGAGCTCCTGGAAGAGGAACCGCTTCTTCAAACTGCAGGAGGACTGCAAGACGCTGTGGTACGAGTCCCACAAAACGTTCAGGAAAAACCAGACGTGTAAGTGTCAGAAAGACGAGAAACACGACGAAGCACAAGCCTTGTTTTTTTAATGCACTGCTCAATCAAAGAATGTTGTCTTTTCTTTTCCATGACATGTGTTCTTTCAGACTAGAGGAATTATATAAGCCACTGCACTTTGTTTATTTGGTTTTGAAGATGCGTCACCAAAAGCCATCATTTGTAAGCATGGCATAATGTGTTGACCTAAAATCGTGGTTGCTGTAGTGTATTGTTATTTAGATCATCCTACTATATGTTTGGGCTTTACATCTGCTTGCTATTATTTCATCAACATATAGTTCTCCTTTCAGATCTCAACAATAGCTCCTTGCAAACACACCCCTTAACTCCCACTGCTACTCATAAAACATTTCTGAGAAAATGGAAACAACTCACACAGATACCGCAGTGTGGCCAAAAACAGACTGGAAAATACTGGTGTATTTCCATCTGTGTGTGTGTGTGTGTGTGTGTGTGTGTGTGTGTGTGTGTGTGTGTGTGTGTGTGTGTGTGTAAAACAGATTATTTACCTCTGAAATCTGGTTCAGTAACCCACAGTGAGTGTGAATGTGTGTGTACTGATCTCCCGGCAGCTGCTACCAGACGTGATAACCTCTGCCCGAGCCTCAGTCTTAAACAAACACTAAAACACAAAGCAGTGCGCTCTATGTGCCCATAGACACACACACACACACACACACACACACACACACACACACACACACACACACACACACACACACACACACACACACACACACACACACACACACAGGCCATATGGAGCGATGCAGTCATGTGAACGGTCAGCTTCAAGTTCCCATGTGTTTGTTTACGGAAATGAGACAGCACGTTTTATTGCTTTCCTGTGGGCTTTAGCAAGACATAATAATGACCAATCAGGTAAAGTGCTTTGGCATAAGGAGTTGGGAAGCACGTAGTCTTTAAAAGCTTCTTTTTTTTAGGTTCATATTTGTATTTAGTCCCTCTACTGTGACATGTTTCTATCTGCTGCTTTACAAAACCACAATCTGTTTCAATGCTACGAACACATTTCAATGCACTGCCTGTAACTCATCTGTTACTCACTAACTAGATCACTTATCATTAGTCCTTATATGCTTCTGTTCACTTTTCCCACACTCTCCCTGTCATTTGCCTTGATAGCATTCACACACTAACCCTAGCACATGAGGTAGATGTCACTCCACTGTAAATATAACACACACATACATCTCCTGAGACACATCCCTCGTATAGCTTTCAGTGAGCTATTTGTCAAAGAGATAAAGGTGATTGATCATATTTGCAGGCAATATTAAAGCCGTCAAACAAGTCTAACATACGTGGAAAGTTATTGTCTTGAATTCCGTTCGTTAGGTATAATAGTTATGCTGTCAGGTGTGAAGGAATTCTTTGTGACGTAGGTCAACATGTCGCATAAGTCCAAAGACCTTGTTAACTCATTAGCTGAAGGGATTCTCTGACCACAATTTGCCACTTAAAGTCAAGCCAACTTTTAGACTGGAACAGAGAATGAAAACTGCTTTAGATGACATTCCTTGGCCATATATGTATAATACATCAGGTCTCCACCAACTGCATTGTAAAAGAGATATTTTAAATAAAGAAGAATGAAAACTAAAATTCAGTCAGTACATCTACCTATAATGTATTGTTTTCAAAATGTAACATTGTAATCCTGCTATTTATCCCCATGTTTTTCAGATTTGAAAGTAATCAGATTAGGTATTATTTATGTAACTGTAAGGGATCAAGTTACCTATCCTGATTACGTAGTCCCGTTACATGTAATCCATTATTCCCCACGCCTGGTCACGCTCCACCTCACTGAAAAACCACCTCTTCACTGCTAAATGCTAAGTTCCCAATTTGATCTCAATGATCTCCTTGTGTGAAATTTCATCTGGTATTCAAGCAATGTCGGCGTGACACGGAGGACAAGATTTGGGCTTTATAGAGGGATGGGATTCTTTGAAAATGATCCAAATTCACCAACCCACTGCTGGGGATAATGTGCAAGCTGATCAAACAAACACTCAGCTTCTGGTGAATGCCTCCAAGGTATTTCCATCAGCTGAGTTTACCAGCGAGGCCTGGGTGTGTTTCACCGACCCGCCCACTCTTTTCTCTCCAAGTAGTCCGACCTTTAGATTCATCCCGGCCCTAAATAGTCTCTGATTCTCTCTCAGGAACAATGGCTGCTCTTTCATAGCCTCTCCAGCCTCGGGATACCCGGGCTGGAAACACTGTGATTGTAACCCTGCTGCAACATATGGCCTCTTAGCTAAGCTCGGTCTTTAGTGTTTGGTTGCCGGGGCGGTTGTGATTACATCATGGGCGGCTCTTCCGTACATTAAGCTGGATGTGTGTGTGCAGAAAGCATCAGTACGTGTGTTTGTATATGTTTTTGTCCTAGAAATGTTGTATTTTATGTGTTGCCAGTGTGTGAGACGAACTGCTGTTAAGTAAAGTCATCTCCAAGGAATGTGTTTGCGTTGCCAAAGAATCAAAATGTTTAGCCAACAACAACAAAATGCCTGAGAGACCGTCTTGTCTCAGAGGACTCCTGTGTGTTCAGTTTGGGCTAAACAAGATTAAGATACTGATGTTTTGAAACATGTTGTACAAGTTCATATCTCTGGAGGTTGTTTTTGCTTTCTGTATTTAGTTTTGGAGCATTTTGCATTTATCTCCTTTAGGACCAGACATCAACAGACACAGTCATTGCTATCATGGTGAATGCAGGGAAGCTTAAGAGATATTTCCTTCATGATCTGTTGGAGACTTAAACAGAGCTAGAAGGAAGGCTAAAAAACAATCGGAAATAGATGCTAACGTTGCTGTGTCTGCTGGATTTTTAAACATGCAATTGATATGTCTTGTGAGTGAAGGCCACAGAGGCGAGCTATCACAAAGGAACAGACGCCTTCCTGCAGATAAGACGTACAAACACCTTGTTGTGCTGCTAGATACTGACGTGTCTAAAGGGGAGGATGCAGACTTTTCCCAAGGGGTCAACAGCTACTATGTTTCTATAGAAGCTATTAACACTCATCATAGTGCTAATGATGGATTATGTCAGGGGTTCCCAACCTTTTTTCCCAAGAGCCCCCCCAAATGCCCCCCCCCCACACACACACACACACACACACACACTCACACACTCACTCACTCACTCACTCACTCACTCACTCACTCACTCACACACTCACTCACACACTCACACACTCACACACTCACTCACTCACTCACTCACTCACTC